AATATTTGAAACTTATTTTGAGCTTCAACTAATGTTTAAGTAAAGTGAGCAGGCTTTGTCCGCAGAAAAGGAGGAGGCATTTTTCTATTTTCCTAATTTTAAGACCTTCCAATGCAATAGTTGCGCTAGGTTTAATCATCACTCTTGATATTCGCAAAGTCCGTGACCGTTTTTTAAAAAGAACACTAAAAGAAGACTAAAAGATTTCTTTTGTGAGAAAAAATTAGAGTTGACAAGTACTCGTTAAGAAATGATCTACGTAATTCTAACAGAAACACGTTTGATCATCTTACTTCGTGATACTTCCACCAACGTCAAGGAATGAATGCATTTTATTTCCGCCCGTCGTTTCACTGCTTAAAGGCAAAGTAGTTTCATTTTACAGGTTATGGTCGAGCTAATGAACACTTTTATTATAACGCAATCTATTCTACTCAGCTGACAATAATTGTGGCTCAATTTTGCTAGCTCGAGAGACACGGTGAATAGGAAACGTCTTGTGTTGGCAAAAACCCAAAGATTCATCAGATCTCAAACTAAACACATCGGCGTTTAAGTCAAGCCTCCATGCCGTCCGTTAGGTTATTCGCTCAAACCAAACGACTTTATCATTAGGGAACCGTAGCAATAACATTGAAAAGAAAAAGTAGTTACAATATGCGAAAAGTGGTTGTCTTCTCATGGACATCTCTTTATTGTCTGCCCGATGCCTGCTTTTAAGACTATTTCCGATAAAAAATTGGGGTAAGAAAAAGTTAAGATGTTCTTGCGACACTCACTGAATTCATATTGCATTGAAAAGGTGGGAAAAAATGTTGGTGATGGCAACGCTTTGAGCGGTGAATTTATTATAATCTAAGCGGAAATGTGGGCCACATGTTCCACAAAAATAAATCTTCCAAAATTTTCTATCAATCTCTAATAGATTGTTTGTCTGTCTGCCTACTCAATCGAATCTGATGTTATTCTCACTTCGAATTTATTCTCTGGCTAAATTAATAATAATAGTAATATTTAAAATTTGCAAAGTTCTTGATGCGTTACAAACATGCTGCTAATCTAATTCAACCCGTGTGATGGGTATAGTTATTATTAGTTAGCTGTAATAATGTTAAGTTTATTGACATAACTGTCTGTACACGTGAAGCAACTAAAAAAAAAAAAACTAATTTTTTTAACGAAAAAAAAAAAATATATATATATATATACATATATATATCTGATGACATCAAAGTAACCGGTTTTTAATTGAATGTCAAAATAATGTATAGAAACTGTTCTTTTTTTTCCTACGAACATGGATATAAATATAAACATAAACATAAACGTTGTATTTGCTTTTGGTTTAATCTCTCTCACAGCGATTCAAATCTAATTGTTTGCTAACGATATTGTCATTCAGAACTAAGTTGTTGTTTGGTGTTATAAATTTGCTCTTTATTATTTTTATATGTTTGTTTTTTTTTGCCTTCAAAAAAAATGAAATGAGTGAAAATAAAAAAAAATAAAAAATAAAAGCTCGTAAATTATAGCTTAATGTGTACCTGTTAGTTGACCCACCTTTTGCGTGGAAGTGTTAAAAGGAATTTTTAATAAGCTAAAGCAAGCAAGTCTTTTGAAGACAAGCATTTTAGTCAAATTTTGCGAAAACGAAGAAATGTATGAAAAAGAAAAAGGAAAAAATAGGAAAATTATTATTATTTTTAGCACTCATGTGATGAAATATTTTAAAGTTTTTTTGTTTGCTTTTTCTTTTATGTATTTTTTTCTTTTTTTTTTCTTTATGAATAATTAGAAATTATATAAAACCAGTTTTTAACTGATCATCCGACAAGAAACAAAAACAACAAAAGCAACAGCACCAATAAAAAAAAAACTCGGTTGCATAAATACGCGCATCGCTTCAAAAGTAAATGTTTAGTTTTTATTTTTGTTGTTGTTTTTTTTGTTTTTTTTTTTTTTTTTTTTTCTTTGTATATATTTTCATGTGTTTAATTTCAACAATCGCGTAGTAATAAGCATATTAAGTTAATTAATAAGCTTGTAACGCGCATTACTTCAGCAAGCACTTTGCAATTCGATGCTTTATGCTAATGCTTACATATGCAAGCGAAACAAGCCGATTACAAAAGAAGAAATTTAAGTTAACTTTTGACTTTCATGAACTCACTTAAACGGACCGTTCCACTTAACAACAAAAGTTCAAACAACTTTCCTTGTGCTGGGCTCAACACACTAATAATCTTTCTATTTCATTTAGGTCGCTCTTACATATCAACTTGTATGTTACACATCTTTTTAAATTGGTTTATAAGTTTTTGTGGCTACCAATTCAAAACTAAATATTCTGTAGGCATTTTTTTATTTTCGTTTAAAATTTACTGCTTTATGAATACTTAAATAGTCGGCGGTAGACATTAAAATGTACAGCCATACCTACGTTAATAGGCATATGTAAATAGATTTTATTTAATCTCATCGTTAATATGTTGTCAGTGGCATAACTGGGAGTCGGCATACGCTACAACAAATATTAACAATTGACACAAAAAAGATGAAGCAAAAAAAAAAAGGCAACGAAAATTCCATTCATTGTCTAAACGAAAGACTTTACATTTTACACTTGAGCCTTATCGTCAGATTTAATTTTTATTTCGATAAAAACTTCTACGCACTTCTCAAAGAAGGCTTATGCTTGCTGGAACATGACCGAAATTTCAACTTTATTCTTTTAAAAATTTCTTATCGTAACATTTTTATTATTGAAATTTGTTCCACCGTGAAGTGTTGGCTAAATTCGCTTGATTTAGGCTTATGGAACATTCATCATATTTTCATCACATTCTTGTGTTGTAAGGAACTACAAACTGCTTCCTGGTGGAAAAAATTATGCTTTGCTGCAATACATCATAAAATGTTCTGCTATGATCCCCGTACCTAACTGGTATTTTCTTCATATTAAAAATTAAGGAAAAATTTTCAAAGTAGATGAGATGATATCTTAAGTATATAAAATTTAATAAACAACTAATTGAAACGAAAGGTATAAGAACTTTATTTAGCTTACTATCAACTTACAATTGCAGAAGAAAGACTCTTTGATCGAAAGGAAATCTGAGTATATCTTCTATATAATCTTGGAAAATATTAATTAGGTAAGGAAAGTTAGGCAAGATTCTTTAATAGCAAGAACACTTTAGAAGTACATTTTTCAACCATTGCTTGCGCGGCTTACTATCAAAGAACTTACAATAAAAATCAACTATCAGGTTCTATTTAAACGGCCGAATGTTAATAGAAAACAAATTTGTAAAGTCCCAAAAAAAAAAAGAAGAAAGAATTTTTAAAAATAAAGGAAGTACAAAATAGCGTGATCGATGACTTTTCTTTTTTAACTTTTAAAATTAACTAAAGTTTTACTGTAACTTGATGTCAATCTTTCCTACGTTTCGTTTTTACGAGAAAGTATTTTAAGCTCCTAAAAAATCAATTATAGACTTAACTTATGTCGATCCTAACACGTCCTCCCGTTGTTTTCATATATAATAAGAAGCTCGTTTAAAAACTCCAAGAAGAGAAGGAACTTTCTCCCGCCAATTCATCCTGGCTCTAAGGCACTTCTATACTTTTACTTTACGAAACATTACTGTTGCACTGAAACTTGCAAAGCTCGTTTAGTACAATTTTACCAATTCTAGTTTAATATTATATATTAAGTGAGAAAATTGAGCATTGTGGTCTCGTACAGATTGATGTTTAATTCGGATATCTCAGGTACTTTAGTATGACATAGCGACAGCCTTACTTCTCTATTGAAGACCTTATTATAGGGATCAACTAATGGTTCTTTCCATTCATTAGTTGAAAAAAACACTTGCCCATTTGTTTTTCAATCCTAAGAAGCAAAAAAAAACTTTTAAAGCTGCGATAGAGTGTCACTGGAACGCGGTACGATGCCTTTCCAAAGCATTAAAATGCTACTTTTGTTTGTTTCTACAAATTTCCATAAGAATACGTTCTTTTATCTTCAACTAATCCGCCAAGAAATATACAAATGTTAAGTTTAAACGACCCGCCGAAAGATAAGCTATTGTTATCATTTTAGGCTTAGCATAGAAAAATATGCAACAAATGCAAAGAAAAAAAACTCTTTTTTTTTTATTAACACAAAACTTGTGAAGTCGTTCATTTTTTGGGTATAAGACTGTCCAATTTTTATACCCTACACCACTTGTGGTAAAAACGTATATTAAGTTTGTGCGAATTTAGGCATCATCCTGGAAGAAATGAGATGGACCCATTTTTTAGTATACCGATCGACTCAGAGTTAATTTCTGAACCCAGTTAAGCTTGTCTATCCGTCTGTCTGTCTAGTTTTCAATATGTTCAACCTACCAACCACAATTATCGAGATATTTTCATGAAATTTTTTACACTGAAATGCTTGGCCACAAGTACAAAGCCTATTGAAAATGGTTTGGATCGGACCACGTTCGTGACCAGTTCCCATATTTTGAAAAGTCTTTATTTGAATAACTGTAGTATGGTATAAGGTATTTAATAGTAAATCGTGGTCCACTATAGTACTTTTGATTCTTCTTTTTGGCCTTTGTAAAGACAAATTTTCACTTGCCGATAAATGCAAGGTGGGAATTATAGAGGTGAAGGTTAACACTATTGACGCTTCTAATCTAAAAGAGAACAGTGAAAGCCTAAACAGGGGTCTTCTACTCCTATAGAATATTTAGTCACGATGCGCGAGCGAGGAGGAGAAAAAAAAAGCCACAGAAAGTCTTGTATTAAACGACGAGAATCAAGTATTTAGCCTAACATGTAAAGAGTTCTTAGTAAATATTAAAGTTTTTGTTATGTCTTTCCTACCATCTTTTTTTTTTCATTTTTCATTTTTTATTTTAATTTTTTATTTTTATTTTTTTTTAATACGTAAATCGCAAGCAATTTATGTTTAATTCACTTTAATTATGACACTTCACACTTACCTAGTAATTCGCCATGACAGGCCAGGGCTACGTTCAGACACACGGTCGATATACAGAAATGTAGTAATAAAAGTTGTTGCAAATTAAATTTAAACATTTTGACACTTTTTAACAAAAATTTCTTGTTTCTTTTTTTTTATTTTTTCCTTTGCTTTTATTACTATTTATCGTTAATCCTATTTTATATATAATTTAGGATATTTATAAAACACTTTTTTTTCGCGTTAGTTAATGAAATGTTAATTTAATTTTTATTTATAAGACAAAATTTTTATTTCTTTTATTTTTTATGAGTTTTTTTTTTCCTTTGTTATTATAATTTCTATTATTTTCTTATAAATAAAATAGATTTTTGTGAAAGACAAAAATCACCAAATCTCTCACTTTGAATATAAAACGAAAGCGTTTCAAATTAAATTAAAAAAATATAAATCCACACACACAAGCACACACATACACGCACATAAACTAAGAGACTTAACACTTCAATATCCACTCTCGTTTAACGTCCAGCTAGACTTGAAGGCGTCTGTCTTATGGCTAGCCGGTGACCGCTAACGCACGCTTATATACAATATGCGTTATGGTATAAAGCGTTTTTCAAAAAAAAAAAAAAAAAAAAAAAATACTCATCCACAACTCGAGACAGCGAGAACATATGTATACGTAGATTGTATTGACCAAATAATCAATTGATTGTTGTGAGCAACTAACTGCGATCATTGAACATGATGTAGCGATAAAAAAAAAAAAAAAACAAAAAATAAAAGCAAACAAACAAACACACACAAAGAGTGAAACGTCGTCGCGAACAACGTTGTGCGGGTTGTGTGAGAAAAACTTGAAGATATGCGTTCACGTCTTGAAACATGTTAAGTGTGTTTATAAACTTTTGTTCACTATAAGCAACATGTTGCTAAACGCAGAGTGTGTGTAAATTCTTATCTCTTTTCAATATTGAAATAAATTACTTACGAGGTTTTCATCTTTACACAAATATATTTGTCGTAACAATACTCGTGTATACAAAAATACATACATTTTTCACCTACACTTCAGAGTTTTCAAGTTCATGTTCATATGTTAACTTCGGAAATTGTTTTATTATAACAGGTAGTCAGAAAAATATTGAGGTAACATTATGCACAGTGTTGTACGTAGACGCGAATGAGTTGAATAAAATTTTACGAATTTTACTATCTTGACGGCTCAATCGATTTTAGATTGTCTAATACACATTCCAAAGAATGGATTTGTATTAATTGCGTCATCCTATTGCAAATATGCAATAAAAGCCAACATTGTTCAGGATCTGTTGGACATGTTACCTCTATTCACCCTTATGGATGATTTAAAGCTCTAATGAACTTGCAATAGGAATACTAAATGTCATAAATGTTTCCATATGCTTACTCAGGTTCCAAAGATGAGAAAATTGTATCTGAACGATTTTGAACACATAAATCTTTCTAAAATTTCGAAATATCACCCTCAATAAATGAAAAGCTTTAATAGACGTCAAATTAAATTTTTGCTTAAGTATTTATCCGAAAGCAACTTTCCAGAAAGTGAGTGGCGAAAAAGGGCTTTAATTAAGAAAGGTAGGAAATCATAGATAGCAGATAGATAACTTGCAAAAAAGCAAAAGAAAATCGAACGTCCGTGTAAGTATACCATACCTGATAAGAGCAATTATGTACAAATAACATGGTGGGAGACTATTAGTTTTCAAAAGTTTGCTAATTACCAGCGAATCTATGGACCTATTTAGCCACATTTTGAAATATCTGTTCCAAATAAAAGTGCGGATTTTGAAACTGGGAACCCGTCTTTCTAGAGAAACGGTCCAAATCGTACTAATGATTTTGGTGAATTGATGGGTAGACAGAGGGAAAGAAAACGTAACGAAGAAGTTCTTAGACAGACTATTTATCTGTTTATCGTACAGTTATGGACACATGAACAGATCGCTTTTCAATACCTCAAAAATTCGTTAAATTTATTTAAAAAGTGGTCTGATTAATAAAAACAAAAAATCTTCTCCCTCTCTCTTTCGTTCATTCTCTTATTTCCGAAATGAAGACCGTCGTTTTTCCCTTAACTTAGATTACTTTTTTGCTCTTGTATTCAGACGTATGACGGAACGAATATATGTACAACAGCAAAAGCTATTCTAAAGATGCTATACGCATATCTTTTGGACATGTAAACAATACAGAATTCTATATCTGAAAGAAATCGATGGGTTTGCATATTGCCGCTTGAAAATTTCAACTTATGCTTGTGTCGCAGATCCTTCAGCATAACGTACTAAGATTGGTTGAAACCTTCTCAAAGCGCATTTCCGTAAATGTTTTTAATCAGTTTTTGTGCTAAATTACGGTTCAATAAATTTTCATTAAAAATGCGTTGAAAATCGTTCTGGCCTTGTCAAAATTTTCGTAATTTGCCAGCAACTAATCTTGTTTAATGCTTGGGTTTTGGTTCTTTGTCTTGTATAAAAATCCAATTCGCTGATACCGAGTTTAAGGTACACTTAAGGCGTTTCCAAAAAAAAAGGCGACCTTTCATTTTTCTCTAAAAAATGTTTATTCATTAATATCTATGTTGTCTTCTTCAAAGTAATCCCCGTAGATATAATACACTTATGCCAGCGCTTTTTCGAATCCTCGAAGTATTTCTGTTACGCGCTTTTGGGTATGCGCTTGAGCGCTTCCAGCGATGCGGCGTTTTTTCTCCTTCTGAATCGCGGCAAAACTTCGACGATTGCAGGGTTGGTAGCAGGAAAAACTCGCAAGTTCAGTGAATAGGGTTACCGAACTTTTTTCGCCCAAGAATTCTACGATTCTTTTGGTCAAAATTTGGCAATTTCGGAGCAAATTTTGCTGCCACATGTTTGTTATGAGCCAAACGATACGCCGACATTTTCAACAACTTTTCTAATAGCGATTCAACGATTCTTTCTCCATAACAATTTTGTTCACGGCTTCAATGTTGTTGCCGTCCTGGGCCATCCGGGTCGGGCATTGCCATTAACATCGTCTCTGCTTTCTGTGAAGAGCTTATACGACTTGTAAATGTTTTTCTCACTCAAAGCATATTAGGTAAATGCCACAGTCAACATTGTGAGTGAGTAGAAGCACATCATTTTATCTTTCCTTCCATCTTCCTAATAGCCCTTAGTCTAGGAAAGAGCATGTAAGATCAGTCTGCGACCCTTGTCATGCTTAGTAGCTTTCTGAATGTGCTTTACATAAATTGTACTCGGTCTTCTGGATATAGATGTGTGATGAATATAAACGTGTTGCAACAAATTGCATCGTTAGTGATAAAAGCTGTGGCCAATGATGCTTACGAATGTACAATGTCAATATGGGACACGCCCTCTTGTGTTTTCGCTTGAACTTCGTTATACTCATCGTGTGAATGCCTCGTTAAAAATGTACCCCATTCATCTTTGTCAAACTCTTCCTTAAGGTTAATGCTGGGCAAATGTACGCTGCTGAGAGAACTTGGGAGAATACTGTAAATAGATACTTGCTTACTATGTTTCTTACCATTTGCTATTTCGCATAAGTATATTTTAAATCTATAAAAAATAAATTTATAAATGCAAACAGATCTGTACATTATATTAATTCATATATTGATTTAATTCAATCCCCCCCCCCCCCCCCTCTCCCCCCCTTCCTTTTCTATAACTTTCACGTAAGTACTTTTTTCCAAGAACATATCCATTCATATAGCGAAAATTTCCGTAAAAGCCGTATTATCTACTATCTAAAAAAAAGAGCCGATAGCCTGTGTTGCTAGTGCTCAATGTCTTTTTTTAGTCTAAGAATTCAGTTCATTAGTCTAAAATTAAAATAATAATAATAATAATAATACTATCTAAAAAATTGTTATTCATGTGTGCTATTTATGCGTCCAAGCCTGTAAATATTTGTTATAGATTATGAGACGTAGTTTAAGGTTTTTCTAATAAAATATGATAGGAAATAATGGAGGCAATAAAGCGCAATACTGCGCTCCCTCATAAATATCTTTTTATCATTTTTTATGTGTAAATCTTTTATCAACAATTTTTAAAGCAAAATTAATCTATTTTCAAATATTTATCAAAGGCTGGATGGTAAGGAAAAGCACTTCTTTGTGTAGCAACAATTCTCCTGCTGTACATTAGCACGTCATCAATATCGATGTTTTATTAATTTATTAATTTTATTATCGCTTTTTTTTCTATTTCTATTTCTAAATATCGCATTATATTAAATTCCTTTTATTTAATTTAATTAAAATCGTATTCATGTTTTAATTAATATTTCATAATTAAAGATGTATTAGTTTATCTTAATGTCGCCATTGTTGTTGTTTGCGTCGTTCTAATCATTAAAAAATGGCGTTATTTATAAATTATTGTCGCATAATTCATTACAATAAATATTCATAAATATAAATAAGTTTAAGTATTTGTTTTTATATAACGTATAATGCTTTATATTTCATCTTCTCAATTAATTAATTTATTACAAGTAATTAAAGCTGTGACAGTGATATGATGCTGATAATGATGTTAAACGTTACCCGATGCTTAGGAGAATTGATGATAGATACATTCGAACAACTTCGAACAGGAAGGAAAGCTTAATAGTTCTGATGGCCTCTTCAAAACGATTAATTTATTAAATATAATAAATATTTACAATAGTGTTTACATAACCAATTTAGATAATTTTTTTTTACTTCCCATGAAATAATCAGCTTTTTAATCGCAGTCAGTTAACTCAGTGTGTAGTTTATAAATTATAGAAAAATGAAAATTAATAGGGTTACGACTTTCTATGAAAGAGATTGATCGTCTAGTGCCGTCTGCGTTGACAAGGTGTCATTAACAACGAAAGAAGCTCAGTTCAGTCAGAAATAATGATACCAGAAACAATCAGTCAGCTAGAACGAGATATCAATTTCGCAACGTAGAATAACTTCATCTAATAAATCAAACCGTAATAATAAGCTATTGATTACGACCGCTGTGAATGATATCGTGTAGCTATGCTAAGCTTTATCTAATGAAATAAAATAAGGCCTCGACAACTCTAACTCAGTTCTTATTTGAAAGTTTTGGGGAAAATTGCGTACGCTTCCTTTCCAGG